GGATGTCTGCAGATTCACCGCTATCGCACCTCAACGCCCCTATAAATTGTGCAAGAAACAGCGACGACTATGAGTTAGGTGACATCACCGCTTCACCATCTCGCTTCGGTGGACAAATTGTGACAGGTACCGCTCAACTCAGCTCAGCATGGCGCATCTTAGGCACCCGCCGTACTTGATCCGCTCAATCCGCTTGTACTTGATTGCTTGACCCGCTTCGTGCAGAATGCGCCCACACAGCAGTTTGTTATTTGGCGCTTCGTAGGTAAAAAGAATTTTGTATGGTTACGCAAATTCGCTGTACGCGATGCCAAATGACAAATTAGTAACGCCCGTTTTGCACGAAGCGGATCAAGCGGACTAAGAGGATTAAGAGGATCAAGTGTGGCGAGTGCCTTAGATATACAGGGCAGTGGCGGACCGAGGGGGGGGGGGCGGGGGGGTGGCGCCCCCCCCTCCCGAGAATGGGTCGCGAAAATTTTGAAACTCACCTAAATGGGTTATAAAAATGTGCAAATGACTTGCTTTTTTTTGTAAATAATTAATATAATTTTTAAAATTTTTTAAAAGTTCAAATTAGCCTTGTAAAAATTTTTTTTCGGGGCGTGGCTAACGCCACGCCCCCTTTTTTCAGTTTTTAGGGGTTCGGGGCCCGCAAAAATCTTGAGAAGCACCCCAAAAAATTTTTCGCAGTGCGTGGCTGACGCCACGCACCTTAGTTTGAAAAAAAATTTTGCCGCGCAAATCCTGGGACCGCCACTGATACAGGGGTACCTATTGAATACGTGTTTATAGTAACCAAGCATTTTTCGCAAATTTTCACAAATCAAGCTCAAAACCACTTATCAGTTTTCAACATCCTGCCAATTACAGTTACAGAAAAGACATTTTTCTAAATGTTATCTATTGGAAAGACTCCGAGCACATTACTCTCGAGTATTTCCTGTGCGAAATCCAATATAGGAGAACACTAGAAAGCTATACATCGGGAAAAGCGCTCAACGTTCTCTTTCTTTCTGCCATATTCCTCAAGCTAAAACAAATTTGAAGACGCGCCTTTCGCAGATCGACACGGGTGAAATGTGGGTAACGGGGGCAAAAGATAAATGTTTTATCAATTTACGAAAGAAATGCCAATAGTTTCATCAATTTCCGAAAATGCTCCACGAGCCGCGTAGAGACAGACATTATAAGAAACCAGTGCGTCACCTCTGCTTCGCAAAGGCTCGCACTGGCTCGCTCTACTATCTAGGCCCTACTTATTCTCGCATAATGATGGCATTGGAACTCACCGAGCATTGCCGACTATCACGGACAAAATGTAAACAAATACTCATTCCAAAAGCTTTTCCATGTGAAATCGGTGATTTCGCGTTGGTGAGACTTTTTGTAGGAGAACAAACGCAAATTTTTATAGGTTTTTGGTTTTCCCATGGTCTTGACATTGCAATAAGAACAGCAGTCATTGTGAGCTACATATTGTGCAAAAATCTCGTCAAATGCTTTGGTACAACCTTGGCAAATTGACTATTAACGCAACCAATACTTTTTGGCGCCGTTTTTGTAAGGTAATGGACATTTAATCACTTTTTTGGGCCTAAGTTCATGGCTTGCACATCTACTTGGCATAAACATCCACGACTCTGCAGAAAGTGTAATTTTAAACGCAAATTTGCCGCCCAAACGCAAAGTGGATCCGTTTGGCGCACAGTTTCTGGGGGATCCACTCAACGAATCTGCTCGTGCTTTTGCGTGTTGGACTTTCATGCGGGTAGCATGCGCTGTGCAAAATTTGAGCCCAGGAGGTTGGCTGGAACACGCTCTACGAATTTCGTAACACACACACACACACACACACACACACACACACACACACACACACACACACACACACACACACACACACACACAAAGTCACGTAAACATCCTTAGCCCGTTATCATAAGTTATGATTGCCTTACGCCTATATACCTCGCGCCTAAAAGTACGTGCATGGCATCGTTGCCAACGCGGGCGCACCATCTTCAGGAACGTGTAAAGACTAGGCAAATCGCTTTTTCGCGCGTAATGTATCATTTTTAAATCGTCGTTTCTTGTAGGAGGCTGTTCGTCCATTGCATCGTCAGTTAGCCGTTCGTTCTACCGTAAATATTTTCAACTTAGATAAATATCATCACGCCAGTGTCCCATCTGATGTACCGACGTCGCTATACAGCTTTTTACAATAATGTGTGGTGGGATATTCTAGAAACAACAAACAGTTCAACAAACAGTTTCAATAATGCGTATGAGAATTATGCTTCATTCAATCTTGCTTTTTTTCCAGTTAGTCATTCTGCGCAGCTTTCCTTGATTTCTAAGATTGCTTCTTTGCCACATAGTAAAAATGTGAAACTTCTTTTTTTATGGTGTAATCGAGAAACTTTTTTTGCATGCAGTATAATGGCTCAAAAGTTTCGTACATTTTTTATCCCCGTTTTGTGACAGTATAAGGGAGGGTGGTTTGTGAGAAAGTCCACACATGGTTGTTTCCTATCATCTCAAAGCTCTCATGCATACATATGCATGATCTAGTTATGGAGAACTCCGAAATTATAATCCAACAAAATCTCCTTGTAATAGAATACATAGCTTCAAAGTTGAACATCTGTGCTTAAACTGCAAGCTTGACAATGCCCTGTACGACAGTTAGATTTGAATTAGGTCAAGGGACGCCCTTTTCGCAGCCATTTTCAACTATAATTAAAGTTTAAGCATACATTCCCAATTGCTTTTCCTGGATGGACATCTCTTCAAACTCACCGTTCCAACTATATTTCTTGAAGAGATCTTCGTAACGAGTAGAAAAATACATCTTTTTCAATAGAATTGGATCCTTTTCTGAGAGTTGAAAGATCATGCATGTAGATCATGCGGTGGTCAATCTCAGCAAGGTTGAAGTGTTCTGGAAGATTATCAGTCTAAGCGAAGCGTAAACCCGTTTTTCACCATCTTTCACTGGTTGTGTTAGTTTTGCACCACTTATTGATTTTGGCGGAATCGCTTTTGGAAAAATTATCAGTGTTAATGGAGCGCAAGGATTCTGATTAGTGGAGCAATCCACTAATTGAAATTCTTGCGAATTTAGACGAATCTTTGTGAATAACTAAAATAGAGTCCGCAAAACCCAAAAGAGAAGGCGTTTAATTTACGAGAATTTCAAAGAAAAGATGAGCAAAAAACTCTAGCGCTGGCTAAGGAGACAACGTCAAGATTGGCGCCGCAAAAATTCCGATCCCTTCAAATGGTTTTGTAAGTCTGAAGATCATTTTCATTTCGTATAAAAAATCGTAAAGTATAGTAGAGTTTTTTTTGCGAAGAAGAGAACTTGAGCATTCGGTAGTCCTTCAAAGGACGCTGCGGGATAACGGTGTACGCGCTTGCACGAGTCCTTTAGTTTTTTAAGCATTGTATAAAGGAGGCATTTACATCATAAATTCGTATTTTCCTTCGACAATCTTGTAATTTTCTTGTGTAATCTTCTCATTATGTTGCTACATTTGGGAATTTTGGGGATTTCTGTTCAATTCTACGACATCGCTTTTCGATTATACGTTTTACTAGTTATCCTCTAGATTTAAAAATTTGGAACTCGAAACCTCAGGGAAAGGACCTTTGCGGCAAGCGTTGTTTTTGAACAAGAGTGAGAAGCAATTTAGCCGCAAAATTCAGAACTGTCCTTCGTCTCAGATATGCTTTCCCGTTTCGGCTGCATTTAAGCTCCACATCCCACCTAGAAAACCTTTTTACCATTTATGACTAGAATGTCATGAAGTTTCGTCTCTTCTCCCAGCTTCATTCGCCCACTGGCATTTCCAGTAACAATAGATATTCGTGAGAGTTGATTACAGTGGTGGTGGAAGCCATTCAAAGCACGTTAGTCAATATTTATCTTCTTCAGCACCACACAAAAAAATGAGTTAATCTCCTTCATAATCTCCTTTTCTAATCCACAGTCAGAACTTTTTACTATTGGTGGGACAAAGTGTGCCGTGAAGCGATGTTGTTTAATAGAGAACGGTCTATATGCTGTTGACGGTCTCAAGGAGACCCTTTGTTGGATTGATTTGGGAGGCTGCATTGAAAGATGAACAACTATTCTATATGATCCGTCCTATCAATAATCTTATAGCTTGCGCTTGGCCTGCATAAATTCAAAGTTCTAAAGTCTTTGAAGGGCGTTTCGCACAGAGGCCGCTGTTTTGCAAGGTCGATTTGATATTGGCCTATGCCATCATAACCTAAATTCTGAAAGGCTTGCTTTGCTCAGTTATTCATTGCAAATGATTTCAAGGTGCAACATTCATTACAGGAAGCTATGAACTTATGGGACGCTAAGGTAGAATACGTACTGATACGAAAGCTTATTGATTTTTTTACATAAACACTCCAATCGCTAACAGGGCCCGGCACGAGGTTGTCAAAAGGGGTTTTCGGAAACGAAATCCCCTTTGACCCAAAATTTTTTTACGAATTCCCCTTTGACCCAAAAATTGATCCCAGTGATTCTGCAGTGAATACTTTGACCAAAAAACAAGCTTTATTGACGAAAAACAAAAAGAATTTATTTATGACAAAAAAACAAAAATTGAGATTATTACAAATGATGCCCCAATTGAACAACGTGCCCCATTCATGGTGGCTAATGGCCGTAGTTGACTTCCTGTGCATGTGATTAGTCGCGACAATAACGCAGTTTTTTGGGGATCGACGCTGCCTCTAAAAATCGATCATGGCGCATCTGGTGCTAGACAGTGGTTCACGTCAAGAAAGAAAGTTAAAAAAACACTTGCCCGTTATTTTTGGTTTTGGTGATATCTTCATCATTTGTCAGCTGCATGCTCAGAACTACAAGTCGATGGTAAAGAACACAGAGAGCGGCCCATTAGTCAGCTGCGAACAAGGATAATAAGCGCCATCACTGAATCACACTACAGACTTCAAGAATACTTACAGGAATTCTAGTGTATGGCAATAAGCCTCGTTTCTATGATATCTTGCGGATCACTGTCTGTGGAATCCAGCGACTTCAAACTTTCTGTAGACGAGTACTTTACATTCGGTACACGACTAGCATTCAGTCTGACTGGGACCGCACCAGTCACGCGATGCTGGATAGGAGCATTAAATGACGCATCCATGGATCCACTACAAAATACGAACCGAGAATATAGGCTGCTGAAAAAAGATTCAATACAAAAAACTTACTTTGTCACCGCTTTCGCTACATCTTTGCCACTCCTTCTATAATCCTGAATGATATCACAGCTACCGACAGAGGACTTATCATCCAAATCTGCGCAATCTGTTAGTCGAAAGTCATCTTCGAAGTAAAGTAGGGTCGTCTGCAACAGGTGATTCTTAATTGATGTATATCAGTTAGGGATTGCAGGGTACTTTCAGCAGCAAAGTATACACTAAGTACACACCTAGACTAATCTCGATATGAACTTCTCCCCCCCCCCCCTCCCCCTCCTTCCGTTTCTAAACACATCAAAACGAGAAATGCTAGGTACTTAACTTCCCTAACTTCCCACCTTGTAAATTAATGTCTCTATTGAATGTTCTATCCTTTCGTGAGGTATTCTATTGAAATAGTCAAGGGTACTTTGCGCAATACTCGTTCCTCTTTCAATGGAAACTCTCTCGATAGGTTGGCCATCCTCTACTGGTACGATAATTCGTGTCTGCAACTCATAATCACGTGAAACATGCACGAAATAATACAAGAGGAATAAAAAAAACTGAGTAGTTACCCTGATGCAAGGTAACTGCGTGAACTCCACACTGTCGTCGACAATCTTTGGGAAGTTCTCTTGAATGAATGTATCAACTTTACCCATTAGATAAATATTATCGTTGAAATTGGCTTAACGTCGAATACCTGCAAAGAGTATGCAAAGAACTTCTCGACAAGGCTTCAAAGCTGGCTTACCACTGCAGTTTTTGAGGTTGAGGTTGTCGGCAGGAAAATTCGCGCAAGCTTCTACAACAGGTTCATTTGGAGAGCAAAAGCAGTTTTGTACAGTTCAGCGACTTTTTTCGAGCTGATTTCGAGACTGAGTTCAAAATAGCTTGAACAATGTCACAAATGTGCAAAATCGTGACGAAACATACTAGGAAGTATATGCAAAGTTGACTAGAGCTTCGAAGCATTCGTAGTCAGTTTAAGCAAAATCAAAATAAGCCATAGGCTTTTTCGTTGAAGGTGCAACGGTCAGCGTAGTGGTGAACTGGCCAGAATCATGCACGTTCTCACTTGACCCACCAGTAGAACCTAAGTAAAGCTTCATCAGTACCATATTCAGCTACCTATATTTGTATTTAGCAGGGGAGAGACCACATGATTTTATTTTGAGAGTGAAGTAAAATAAAAGTCAAAAAGCACAAAAGTAGATATGGAAAGGGTTGCCCAAGAAAATCAACATGTGAGTTAGAAATGAAAACCTACCTCCATTCTCCTCTTCGTTTTCTGTTGAGAACATATCAAATAGAGCGGGGGAACTGCAGCAAGCACTACCTTATGAGCGAATATCTCTTGCTCCCTGAAATATCGCTGGTCAAACTCGAAGCTCAAACATCACTGAGTGTTCTTCCAACAAACCTCACAAAAAGTGCAATATCGCAGAGTTCTCTGTTACATCGGAAAGTGTTTAAACGACTGAGGAGCTCATTCTGAAGAAAAAGAAGAAGTCAAACCATAGAATCACCAACGACACCAAAGTACCAACGGTTCAGCAAACAACTATAACAACAGCCGTCATCATGAACTCAAAAAAATGGGAAAAAAAACAAACCTTTATGAACGAATCGCGAAAAACAAGTTGATAACCTTCTCGTTCATCCAATGGGTCATGACCCCATTTGTCTGCATCATCAGCACGCATGGATACAGCAGCACAACGTACCCGCTTAGGCATTAATGTTATTTGGTCAGCCTAAAAGAAAAAAAGAAGTGAGATTGAAACCTACATATAAGCAAAAATAGGGTGAACGAAAGTCTAATTCTTGATAACGAAATCCCTACAGAAGGTTAAATAAGGCAGTAAATCACAAAATTTACCTCGTCGTCCGCGTAAAGGGGTGTCATCATGAGGTAGTTTGCAAGAACCGCTGTGATACAGCAATATCCGACTATATCACCAAACTGATTCACCCACTTGGATGAAGTTGAAGCGTAAAAAGCAGCAATAGGTAGGACGAAATAACGAAATAACGACGAAATGACGAAATATAGACGCCGACGAGAAAGGACTCAGCGATACACCGTTCGATTGGAGCACGCTTTTCTCCTTAAGAAATGGGGCTGTTGAGGCTATTTTTGCTTCTAGCAATGGGGAGAGGAGGAGGTTTGGGACCAAATTTTCAGTATATACTAAAGGTTAGGCGTAGAGTAGATTTATGTAAAAATTTTGGAAAAATTATGTGAATTGAGAGTTTTGCCGAGCTCAGCTTGTCATTAGCTTGTCAAATGACAAGCTAATTTGGAAATAAGTTAAGGAAACTCTTCATTCACATAAGTTTTTCATAATTTTTCATACTTTGTTACTTAGTCCTACTGCGCATATACACACCGAATCCCGCGCGATTTCGTCGCCTCTGCGTTGCAAACGAGCCATTTTTCCATTTCTTTGGTAGCGGAAAATTTTCAGAAAAAAGTTTGCCACGACCTTCAGTCACATAATTTTTCAATGGAACTCCTCAGTTGAGCCCTTCAAGCCCGTGTGCATGTACTTACCAAGTTTTATACCATATCGTCATCTGCGCGTTCCGAACGAGCCGTTTAAATTCACATCTTCATTTACCAATTTTGCAGAATTTTTGGAAAAAATGCTTATTACTCGTTCCGTTTACATAAGTTTTTCATAATTTTTCATAGTTTGTTTTCACTAGCCTCTCTTCGTTCGCATACAAATTTTGGTGCCATATCGTTACACATACATTGAGAACTAGTCATGTATGCTGTTACAAATAGCATCGCTTGAGCGACGTCGCGCGTGCGGCAATTAGCGACGGCGCGGTTTGACGCGCGCGAACTCCAGTGTTCGCCTGTTGAGGCACATAACATGTTAAGATAAGCAGCGAGCATGAACTACCAATTTTTTCCGCGGCTCCGCCCGGACCCCTCAAAAACGATTTCCCCTTTGCATTTTTTGCCGAAAACGATTTCCAACTTGTCATTTGACAACCTCGTGCCGGGCCCTGATCGCTAATGTTACATGACTATGTATGAGATATACCTTGATAAGAGAAAGAAATTTGGATGTAACAAAGATGGTATGGCACTCCAAGAGTAGTAATAAATTTAGAGAAAAAGGGTATTCCGCAAGTTGTTGCCTCAAACATACATTCTGGTCGACTGAATGTGCCGGTATTTGAGAATCAAATTGCTACTACTTAGTGAGTGAAGATGGTGGCTGCCTGAAGAGCTGGATGAAGGATAGGACGAGAGCAAACATTTGTAAAAGGTATGCTATAGTGTGGACCCCGGCCAGCCTCCCATAGGTACCGTCGCGGCGCATACGCAACGCGCGCTCGGCTTTGCGCTTCTCGTTTCACTTATCGACAGAAAACATTTCTACTTGAGGTAGGATCGAAATAAGCAGTGGAAGCCACTAATCACAACTCAAGAGAGACCTAAGCAAAAGGAGAGCGTTCGCAACTCTCACTAGCGCCCAGATATCAGTCAGTCTCCTGCATTGCTAATATGAAGATACCGGTGATTGAAAATCGAGAAGAAAGAAGAAGCAGAGGATCACTTTCGAGACTTCGAAAGTTTCCTTCTGTGGTCATAAGAATTAAACCGTAAGTTAGAGAGCACATTCGTACAAGCACAGCCCTATTGACGCATTATACAAAAGAATTAGAAGCAGTTATACTTTACAAATCAACAGGAAAGGCACGTTTACTCTGTAATGAAAACCTTTGGAAAAGTATTTCACTGCACCATGCTAGAGCCTTCGCTATTGAGAAAAGAATGTGGAATTTGTTAAACAAAGGCTCTCAAGCCTGTTTAGGCTCGTAAAAACCCACTATCGCAGTTGTCGTGAGTTGCCTTCACCTAAAATAGAGCGTTTATAAACAGAACAACTTCAATTTAGAGAGAAAAGCATAAAAATTCATTGGAAGCAGAAACGAAAGCGCACTAAAGGCATGCGCTGCCTTCGCGTCGCGGAGGTACCTATGAGAAGCTGGCCGGGGTCCACACTATACCTAAGCGTAAAGCGCATTCACATTAAAAAAGGAAGACTGTTGTCACCGACATCTTGAAGAAAGCTGATCTCTATAGTTTCAGAGACTTCGACGGTAATAATCAACAAGATAAGCACTCTAAAAATGGGCGTTTTACCTGCTCCAGAGAATTTGCGCTATATATCATGGCACGACGTGGGTGCAGAAACATCGCATTATCGCAAATGATAAATTATACCCGCAGTATGTACTGCACATCTTCGCTCGCATCGAAGCTGACCGAATTTGTGGTATTTGTCTGCACCGAACCGAGCTAACGGGTTCCACTGCCAGCTCTCTATACAATACTCAGACGAAAAGATAAATGAAAAAGATGTCAAATTGGGAATATGCCTCAATGTTACGTTGGAAGACTAAGATGGTATCAAAAATTGTACACTGACGCTACGGCAGTAGCACAGAGGCTAGGTAAACCGATTTGTTTATAACGTTCACTGGAAATCGAGATTGGCCTGAGTTAAGAAGTAATCTTCCTGAAATATTTGACACATGGATCACCGACCCATTCCTCTGCTGCCGAGTATTCTTTTTGAGACTCACCGAGTTAATTGACGATATCGACGATACGAGGTTTTTCGCAAAGTGATTGCTCTACATGGAAGTATTCAGTTTCACGAGGCATGCCGCATGCTCACTAACTCATCACGTAAGCTGACAAGATCGATTAAAAAGGTAAACTCCAACATTTCTGCTGAGATCTCGAAACACGCAAACGGAAGATCCCCATAGGAAGGAAAAATAACATCTGGTTGGTCTTGTTGGAAAAATATGGTACATGGATTATGCTCGAAACGCCCCAATCTTCGCTGTCAGGAAACAGATAGAAGCAAATGTTCAAAGGGACTTCCTAAACCTTATAGGAGTTTTAATCAAATATGTCACGGCGATTACCCGTTGTACCGTAGAAGAAATGACGGAAGGCCTGTCGGAAAACTTGGAGGAACATTTGCTTCAAATAGGGATGTAGTACCTACTAATCATCGCCTTCTCATAAAACACGAGCGTCACATAGACATGAATATCTGTGGCGCTATACAGGCCTTCAAATATATCTTTAAGTACATTTTCAAAAAACCAGATTTTGTCGTCCTATGCTGCTACAAGACGACCTTTCAAAAAAATGTATATTCGAATGGAAAAAACGAAAAACTTGTCACTATTGACTTGAAAGAAGTTTCTCGGTTGGCAAGGTACGTTTCTCAAATCGAAGCAGTCTACAGAATACTAGGTTATCCTATGTATGCTTTAAACACTGTCATGTCGTTAATGTCCATATGCCTGATAAAGAGCCGGTTTTGTTTAAAGGTACACTTCCTTTGCGAAGATTCAAAAGGAACGCATAACTCGATCCCTCGTGGCGAAAACGTTAAGAATTTGACTTGGCTTGATGGCTGAAAACTACCGCTTCACCGCATGTAACTCGTATTGCCAAGTTATGGCCGGTAAGTCTAAAAATGCACAAGTTGTACGTTGTATGCTGTTAGGAAGTTATTGCTATATGGAGAAGGTGGGTAGAGCTGTATCTGCCCCTAACGCTGCCTTCGAGTGTTCGGGGAACGGAACTTACATACCCCGATAGGCTTGCCGCTACGTAGTTAGCGAAGTTCATGAGGGGTCATGAACTGGCAGCAACGCTAACACCAAATGTGCATTGAGACGAGCTCATTCTGCACACGGTAACTCCGTCATCATCCTACAAGCTTATGAAACCGGAATTTCTTTGAAATTCGAATTTAAGTGGTTAATTCAGTCCAGTTAGGGTAAAAACTTGGATTTAGGGGCATTCTATAACGCTGATTCTCAATATGATAATCGTTTTGCTTGAAATTTAAGATTTTTTTCTTTCTTGAATTTAAAACTGTTTTCACAAATCCTCCAACAAAAATTTCGGCAATTTGTTTATGGGTTTTCTGTGATGCTGTTTCCGAAGATGCTAATAGTTTCGCTTGAAACTTTGAACATTCTTCATTTACTTCTTTTCACAAATTCTCTGTAACTTTGAAAGATTAGGCAATAGGATTTTCTAACAGGCTTATCCGAAAAAGCTGATGGTGTCTGAAACCGCGTAATTATTCTATTTTTAAATTTCAAACTTCTTTCCAGAAATTTCACTGCAAATTTGATATAACTGGAAAACAAACGGAAAAAATCTGCTATGTTGGAGAAATAAAATGAATCTCAACCAGGGTCAAGCTTGTGATGCGACTGTCGCAACGGCGGGTCGTAAAGAGGGTACCTAAGGTGGGGGGGGGGGTCGTAAGAGAAGGCAGTTAGGCTAAAATATCCTAAGCTTAAAAGGGAATCAAAAAGCAGATAATTATGTTCTTTACAATAAATCTACAAGAAAGTTAAAATCAGAATAAAAAAGATAAAATTTGTAGAAATTCTCAAAAAACATTTACAAGAGGTCAAAACACTTTTAAAGGATGTACGATTTGATAAAAATGCTAAATGTACCGATTGCCTTAGAAATCTTGCTTCTGAAGCCCTCCTAGAGTCTCACACACTCGACAAAAGCGAGTATCTTTACCAGCTGTGACCATCATAAATTTCTAAATCTTTTTGTAGTAATTTTTACGGGCCCATATGATTTATCTGCTCTTTGGAGATGCTCCGCTACATCAGTGCAAAATTTGGTGTTATTTCGTCAACTGTGGATTTTCTTATAATTTTATGTACGGTAGCAAAAAATCAGGAAAGGGGGGTCGTATCTGGGTCGCATCTAAATTTCTTCGGAGCTATTGAAGCTTGTTGGCTGCAATTCTGCTGTAATATGACGCCATCCTTTTACCTTCCCTCATAAAAATTGCAGGCTGTTTTATAACTTCTCTGGTAAGTTAC